AAGACTCTTAGTAAGACTTTATGGTACAAAAAATTTACACGTCACCCAACTTTACACAAAAGAACTAATTATATTTGACACAAATTTTTATATATCGAATCTACATTTACAAATTTACAAATACAAAGGAAGCTCATTTAGCAATTAATTTAAATAACCCTGACCTGAGTCTTTCCAAAATATATAAAAACCCAGGCCTAAAACCACACCTAAAAATTTATATCTTACGTTGGTTCAAAACGGTTTAATGTCTTATCAACAATAATAAAAATATTCTGAAAAAAACGTATTTAAAAAAAGTAGATTGTTTATTGAACAAAACCTGTATCTCTAATTGAGCGTATCGTAAAAACATTAAATTTAAGTAACTTATTTAAGAATACAAAATTAATTTAATTCTAATTTGATTATCTGAAATTAGAACATATACGAGTCTCAGATGCCCAATGTTCCATTGCATAGCGTGAGAATATTTATATTTAATTTTGAAATTAGATTATTTGTTTCCAATTTTCTCTTATATTTTCATTACTTCGTCTTTACTTATCAACTATTATGTTTAGAAATTACCCATCTGATCGATCGATAGATGAATCGATATCAAAGACGTATTCGCATGAAAATTGGTTATTTACCGGAATTCTTGTGGTTATTTAATCCAATTAGCGAAAATCTCCAAACTAAAAATCCTGCTAATTTAAAGTGCAATTCTCCGAAAAATTGACTTTATTGATAAATACCATCAATTCTGGGGCCTTCTATTTATTCGTTTGATTATCATATCGCATTACATGCACCTCGAAATGTTTCGCCAATATTACCATAATCGCAAAGAGAAACCGGGAAATTCCTACGCGTTATCTAAGAGATATGGCTGGTGCAGAAGTAATTGAAACAATTATGGCCTCTACATAAAAGGCATTTAGTTTTATGGGTGTATAAACTTGCTGCTTTTACTCGAGCGGTTTGGCTAGTTATCGGCCATCTAGTTTCAGCCATGTGGCGAAAACAAATGCATTTAACTCACACATGTTATTAAAAATTTATCGTTTTTTTTTCAATTATTTTCTTTATTTTCGAGATACATTCCTGCGAAATCTTGGCAGTTAGAAGCAATCTAATTTAATTAGCAACACAATTGCAATCAGCTTGCCCGAAAAATGAAGCGATTACGTAAGCGGCATTTCTTAGGGATGGATTTCGGCGAGCATATTTTGTAATCAGTTCAGTTTCCAGGCGTTGAAAAACTCATTTCTTGCTTCAAGTTCAGAAATGTTTCAGTTCAAAATTATTTTTTGAATGCGAGAAAGCGACAATTTTATCAAAATGGACCCGAGTACCAAAATGTAAAACAAAGGATTTTTTCGATTTGATTTTTTTCGAGAATATGGATCAAAACATATTATTTCATTAACTTAAGGGGAAGGTTTAAGGAGAAAGCAAAAAAAAATAGAATGAAAATTCGTTTTGTTTCCTAATTTTATGTTTTCTAACTTAAAGTGACTCGTTGATATGTTAAGCGTTTAAATCGGTTCAATTTTCGTATCATACTTAAGGGCTACGAGGACAGATCTAATGCGGTTTAATCGCGAATTACCTTCTTCAGTCTCACAAAACTCTTGCAAACTTCTTGGCCTTGCAGTACATGGTCTTGGCCTTGGTCTTGTCTTGATTTTTGGACCTTTGGACTAAGACAGGCTCGCTCATTACTGTTTTTGTCCTCGGCTTTATAAATATTTTATGCTTATTAAGCAATTGAAAATGTACAGGACTTGAACACGAATATAATTGTTTTTATGTATCTCACACGCCTCCCTGACCCGTTCCACTGAACATCGCGTAAGCCAAGTATGTTGATATTGAGTCTCGTCATTTGTAAAAATACGTTATCTACTTTAACTATAGAAACTATAGAAGATTTGCAAAATACACCGGAAAGAGTTAATAATGCAAGTAAGGCAATGGGACGGACGATAAATGTTCAAAAAACTAAAGTAATGGAGTTGAAGTGTGGACCCTAAAAGTAAATACCATGAGGCGACTAGAAGCCTATGAAATGTGGCTCTATAGCAGAATGCTCAAAATATCATGCACACAACACATAGCAAATCAAGCAGTAATGAGCACCATAAATGGAGAACTTGAACTAATAACAACGATTAAGAAAAGAAAGATCTCGTACCTAGGCCACTTAATGAGAAATGACAAATACAACTTGCTAAGACAAATAATTGAAGGGAAAATGGAAGGCCGGAGAAAACTTGGAATGAAGGTTCAACAATTACTAGGAGCGGCACAGAATAGGAAAGATTTTGATGTAGTGATCGCAAACCTCCAGTAATGGAGTGCACCAGAAGAAGAAGAAGAATAACACTAGTACAGAACTGATCAGCCTTTGTCAAAAGTTGTTCAAAATATCGATTAACTTTAATATCTACTTTTAATCACACGTTCACTAAACGATCTTATAATAAACAAAAAGACGTTTATTGAGAAGTTCTATAATGTTGAGGCGGATTCATTTTTTTTCAAACTTCTTTTTGGGTACTTCGCCTCAAAAATTTTCGTCTTTAAAAAAGACAGAATTTTCTCACGTCTTTTATTACAGATTGATAAATAGTGCTCCTATTTCGCAATAAAAACGAATTGTTTATCAAAAAGTAATCAAGAACTATCACCTAGAGCGACACACTTAGGCTCAAGCTGTAAGAGAAAATTCCAATTAGTAGAGAAATTAATTTGAAAAATTACCTTGACGTTTCGATAGCTATTTTCTGC